GTCTGTCCCTATACATCCCTGTATGTCCCTCTGCATCCCTGTCTGTCCCTCTGCATCCCTGTATGTCCCTCTGCATCCCTGTATGTCCCTCTGCATCCCTGTCTGTCCCTCTGCATCCCTGTATGTCCCTCTGCATCCCTGTATGTCCCTCTGCATCCCTGTCTGTCCCTCTGCATCCTTGTATGTCCCTATATATCCCTGTCTGTCCCTATGTATCCCTGTATGTCTCTATACATTCCTATATGTCCCTATACATCCCTGTATGTTTCTATACATCCCCGTCTGTCCCTCTGCATCCCTGTATGTTTCTATACATCCCAGTCTGTCCCTCCTTGGGAACTGAAAGTCCTCCTTATGCATAAATTATGCAATTTTGGGTCATCGTGGACAAAAAACTTCCTCTCCATCCTCTGTGAGGGTCATAGGACTGATTTTATGGACTTTTCGTTTGGCAGCCCTGTATTAAGGTCACTCCAAGCACTGATCCTCGAAGATCTGACTTTGTGGAGGAATTCTATCTACTTGACTCCTAGCACCTTGTTAGGGGTAATTTTTACTCAAACAGAACTAATTTGTTAGAACATAGATTTAAGATGGACCATGGACTGATTTATGAATTTCCGAAGACATCCAACGTTTAAGACCAACACAAACAAATAAATGCAGCCGAAACCCTGGAGTGCTTCCTGTTTCCAACTTCCTGCTTCATACGTGGTCCGCAGTGTCACTGCCCACAAAAACACATCTGAGAGTAAAGTCATGTTTGCATCATTCATTTTATTCATTATTGTTCTTTTTTAATTAGACCATTTCTCAAGGTGACCCTGTTTGTGGAGGCTTGGCAGAGTAGCAGGTGGAGCCGCCCTGGTGGACAGCAGGAAGAAAAGACACCTGAACGGTTCCCCTTCTTGTACACAAATGGCATCACACAAAATGGCCACGGGAACGACACTAAGAGATAGAAGGTTGATGCTTGTCATTAGCATTTTTGGTTTTGGTCTCTATCCCCCCACCCACCCCGAACCCCTAACCCCTGCATCTTATCATGCTTGGTTTTGGAATGACACCATTTTCCTGTGATGCCTTCAGTATTCTTAGATCATTTCAGGAAATCCTTTTAAATCCCACCCAGCATCAGTCTCATCGTTGTACATGAACAACCAACGACAAAGTCTTCAGCATCAGCATCTATACAGATACTATTACTGGTGTCAGTGATGGAACCAAAACCAAATATCAAGACGTGTCACAATACTGCCATCAGTATCAATGTCTATACTCATTGTCAAGCTCAATACCAATATATACCTTTCAGATTACAGCTGTACAATTCAGTGTTTGTTTTCTGATATTACATCTTCAGGACAATTTGTTAAAGTAAAACACAACAAACCAAATTAAAGGGTAAACGTCTCAACTGTAAGACATCATGCATCCCCCCTCCCCCGTCCTGCCTTATCAGATTAAAAAACGATTTCCGGGACGTTTGTGTGGCTCCCTCTGGACGTGGAAATTGGCACTTCTGTCTGGTATGAGCTGGAAAGCACTAGAGGAGGACAACAGAAAGTCAAAATGAAACTGAAAAAGGCAGGTCTGATGCACATTTAAGTAAAAAAATTAAACAAAGGTCAAAGGATTGAAAAAGAAAAAAAATCTCCCAGCATCCTTTGTAACCTTCCACCCAAATACGTGTCCGACGGTCGGCTGCTCTAATTCTGGATTGCCACGGATATAGGGGGGGGGGGATGCGGTCACATCTGCAGGTCTGCTTCAGACCTGCCCCCCCCTCCCCCGTGCACCATGACAGCCTGTCCTCCTTTGCCACCTGAAGTCAAACGAGATGTCCGACGTTAAACAAAAAGAAGTCCTGTTTTTCTGTAAGGCAGCACTGATTTAGTGAGATGACCCGAGCTGCAGGGAGGGCACACGGTCGTCGGCTCCCACTCCATCCAGCAGGATGAAAGGTCAGGCAGCATGTGGCTGCCTTTTCGACAGCACTCTGACCCCTGACCTTTGACCCCTCCAAAGCCCAGTCAGCCTCCACCAACCCAACATTCATTTACAGACAGGACAACTGCATGTGACACTGTTTAACCTCTGCTTCACTCCCCCCCCTTGACCAGTATGATCCCCCACCCCCACATCAACCTGCCTGCACCAAGGCCAGGCTGGGGCTATTCCATTTCCCCCCCACTGTGCTCCTGTCCTAGCAGAGTCCAATGTACTTCAGATTGTTCTGGATGATGACATCGGTGACGGCATCAAACACAAACTGGATGTTGCTGGTGTCGGTGGCGCAGGTGAAGTGTGAGTAGATTTCCTTGGTCTCCTTGTTGCGGTTCAGGTCCTCGAACTGGCGCTGGATGTAGACGGCCGCCTCCTCATAGCTGTTCTGGCCCTTGTAGTCAGCGAAGCCGACCGTCAGCGGGATCCGCTTGATCTTCTCCGCCAGCAGGTCCTTCTTGTTGAGGAAGAGGATGAGCGAAGTGTTGATGAACCAGTTGTTGTTGCAGATGGAGTCAAAGAGCCGGAGACTCTCTGCCATGCGACTCTGCGGGGGTGAGGGAGGAACATAGGTCACATGTTGCCACTATTCACTTCCTGTGTCTTTCGATGATACTCAAGGATTATGGTTAATGTAGTATTTCCCTCCTTGCAGGGTAAATTTCACACATGGGTCATGATTCAAGATGCTCAGTAAAATCTAGTGAACCTGAACTTCTTCAGTACATTATCCAGCTGTATAAACAGGCATGCACTTGTAAGCCATCAAAGCTTTGGCTAAACCATGAAATAAAATGGGATTGGAATTTATACAATCATACATTCATCTGTCTTGTGCCCTGGGCTTCAAGGGATAAAGCTACGGACTCAGAATCTTGGTGGGATGGGTGAATGGATGGATTCAATGCCAATCACTGCTCCAGGGTAATACTTAACATAGGAATTTACCCTAAAAAAAAGGGACTGTTTAGCCAGCCTTTATGGCAGTGTTATTTAACCCGGCCCTCGGGAACCCCCAGACAGTCCATGTTTTTGCTCTCACCCAGCTCTATTCACAAAAGCTAATTGGACGAGTGTTAAATACAGCCCCAATGAGAACAAAATAAAAGAGATCCATCCATCCACTGGGGGGTTGTGGGGGAGCTTAGGGTCTGCCCAGGGTGCAAAGGGCAGGGCTACACCTTGTACGGGATGCCAGTGCATATCACACACACACACACACACACAAAAGAGATTAAATGGCCAAATCAGCAGCAAGGATATTCCATCAAAAGTAAAAAATGAGATTAAAGTATGAAATATGTTTTAATGACTGTCACAGCTAATGAAAGGCCATGCGAGCATGCTCTGGTGTCACATCTGCGGCGCCCAATAACATAAATGTTCTTCAGCCATGAAGGAGATGCAGGCCTGGTCCACTTGTACACAGAGAGGTGCCTGCCGTCCTGCTTCAAAGGCTACAAGCACGACGAGCCTCCCTGCCCACAGTCCCCCCCCCATTTGCATTTAGACCTTCCAATTAGCCTTTTTTATTTTCAGGGGAGCAATTCAATCAAATTCTGTCTCGGTTTCTAAGAGAACAATAGATGCAAAGATGTATGGGATATATTCAAAGCGTTTGTGTGTTTGTGTGTGTGTGTGTGGTGTAGGTATACCTTACGTTGTGGGGACCAAACGTCCTCACAGTGTGATAAAAACCAGTTATTTTGATGTTGTGGGAACTGTTTTTTCAGTCCCCATAAGAATATCCTCAATTTTATAAAAATCGGTGAGTGTAATCAAGAAACTAAAAATGCCAAAAGTCTCATAGTTTGTTTGGTTACTTATGGTTAAGGTTAGGGCTGGGTAGGGGTTAAGGTTGCCATGTTGAGATTAGAGTTTTCATCATACAAATGAATGGAGAGTCCCCACAAAGATATAATTACAAACCTCTGTATGTGTGTGTGTTCTGTGATGGATGGCACCCCCCATACTGATAAGCGGCGGGAGGATTGATGGATTTAAAGCACAGGGCCCTAGAACTCACACAGACACCTTCTGCTTGTTATCTTTCATAAAATGAAACATATTCCTTTTAAATTTAGAACATTAAAGCCACAAGCCATTTTATTATACAGATTAACATCAGACAATGCTGGGTAATCTCTATGAATAGACCTTTCACATTACTGGAATATGCACTGAAATCAATGGCCTTGTGGAACTTGTCCTGCAGCTGTCTTGCAATGAGCCCTGAGTCCTTAGCTCACAGTGAAATAATGAGAACAGGCTGCTCGTTTCCATACTCATATATTCTTGCTTTTTATTCATTAGCAATGTGTCTGGATCTGATGACAATTCATCCAGCAAAACAGGCTTCGAGTGAAAATAAATTAATCAAGACGGCATAAGTATTATTGAAATAAAGCGGTGCGGAGTCGGGGTTAATATCTGTCCACATCACGTCTGAGGCGGCAGCAATGTACACAGTCCCCTGAAACCAATTAGCCGAATTCCAAACAGAAAAAACAGGAAGGTTATACACCCAGAGCGAAGAGGTTTGAAACAAGTGTGAAAACTGATTACTGTGCTTCACCACATTACCTAGCAGCAGTAGCAGTAAATAACGTTGTTATAGAAACAGAGGATTTCATTTAACAGCATTAAACTCTGGTGTGATGCTTAGTTGTGCTTGCCCTGTTTACCTGTCCATCCATCCCTCCTCCAAGCACTTATCCTGCTAGTCACAAAGCTGGGGTTCGCCCTGAATTAAATTCCTGTGCATTGTGTACTAAATAAATACTGCTTTGCTGTAAATGTGTCACAGTGACCCTCAGCAGGAGTCCCTGTGTGCACAGAAGCAGTGTGGCGGCTGTGTGCTTTCACCCCAGCCTCATCCATCCCACTGCTGTCCACACCCTGCCCCCCCAGTCCCCTCAGCTAGAACGCCATGGCAACATCGCAGAGCATCGGGCCAGCTAGCTAAGCTGACCGCTGTTTTGTGGTTTATCAGAGCTGCTAAATGTTGACTCTGTGTGGCATGACCACAGCTTCAGAAATGTGCTACCGCCCTCAGCATCACATGGCTACACATGTGATTCCCGTGATGGGTGGACCCTTATCTGATTGGTCGGTCCCGCCTCCTGTAGTTGCTTGGACCCACCTCCTCTACAATCTGATTGGTCATCTCTCTGAACCAATGACTTTTCGTTCTGCCCTCAGAACATAAACGTAAAACTCCCATGAGCGAATCGCTGAGAGACAAAGCTCCCAAAAACAGTTAGAGGATGGAGAGCTTGGAACACGACTGGCATGAGAACAACAGCAGGTTGTGTGATCAGTGCCCTCAAAGGCCGGCTGCGGGGACTCTGGATCTCCCATACAGGAGGGGAAGAGCTGCTATTCATGGCTGCTCAGCTCTTCGCCTCTAAGTGGCGCCGCTCTCTTGGGAACCATGCCCCTGCTTCCCTGGAGTTCATCCGTCTCACTCGGAAACGGGGTCATCGATTTCCTGTCACGCTCTCTTACCCCCGACGTACTGTGTGGTGTGCCCATAAAACCACCCGGCTGTCCCTGCTGGGAGAGGCGCAGGCCGCAGCCGGCCCAGCACTGCCGCCGCCGTTTGGGATGGGGCCATCTGCTCCCCCCTGAAGCCCCTCCTGACGGGAGAGAGGAGAACAGGCCCGCTACCCCTTAACTGACCCCTCCAACCACTAGCCCTCCATCCATATCTACGCCAACACTGCCTGCCCCTGCGCTCCCGGTCCACTCCCCACTCCCTGATCTCCTGCGGATCCAGACGCTGGGGTCGCTGTTGCAGCATCAGCACCCTCCTGCTCATCATGGCCCGTTCAGCTCCTCTAGCTTGATGTCACAGATCCCGGCTGCTTCGCCGCATCTTAATCAGACAAAGTTGCAGTTAACAGTGTGGTAAACGGAGGGCCATGCTTGGAAGATGTACTCTCCTCGGTGGACGTGGACCAAATCATCCCCGAAAAGCGAGCTCTTCATCACCTCAGCTGTCCTGGGAGATGCTTCCACATAATATTCACATAATATTAATGGGCATAATTTGGAGAATTAATTAGTAAGAAACCAATTAGCTGAATTAAACTGGAGAGAGCACTAATTTTATTGCGTAATGAAATAAATTATAATGCAGTCCAAGAAAATAAAAATTATTGAAACACAGATAATAAATGGTAGTCAGTTAATGTTTCAGCTGTTCTATGGTTAATTATCTCCATAACATAAGATGTTAAAGTGGTAATGTGGTCGTAGTCGTAATTAAAAAATGGATACCGCTGTGATATTTCTAGATCGCTGTCTGAATTTAAACTACGTTAATCTGATAACAGCTGATGCGGACACATTTGTTCGATGTAGACGCCTATTTGCAAAGCTCAGGGTGCTTCACCCACGATGAAGTCATGCTTCTCTGTTGTGAATATTTATAACATCACCACTGCTTCCTACTGGGTGCCAGGGTAGCGGTTGGAGTCACATGGTGGCTTGTGATTCGGGGGGGGGGGGGGCCCCCCTTAGGCCTAGGGGGGAGCTGTTTGAAAGGTTCAACAGACCAACATGATTCTCCAGGGGAATCACAAGATCCAGTGACTTAGTGCTACCACTGTCTGACTGAGCTTCACAGAGCCAGAAGGGCTGACATCACTTTAAGATGAACACAGCGCTCCTGCCTTGGCAGGAAACGATGAATCTGCACTCCCTTCAGCGCAGACAAGGGGTGACTGCCATGGAGCCCCTCGCTGAGCATTATGGGATAGCATGCAGCCCGAAACACAGCCCCATTCTCATCAGAACTGAAGAGGACAGCCCTGGGCATTCACCAAGGACACAGACCAAGCCCTGTGAAAAATCCTTTTCTAGTTTCAGTGGCTAAAAATAATAGCAAAACCATTTCGAAAACTGCTGCATCGATCTATTTCATTAACCTTCACAAGGACGGGCCCTGCTGTTGTACCCTTACGCAGGGCATTTACTCCCTTGCCCTCCCTGCAAACCCATCAGCCGTGAACACAGAGAGCAGGGTAAGCCAGCCTCCCTGTAGCAGTGCCAGGCACAGGATTTGAACCCACAACCTCCTGGACCCTTAACCTACTTGCCGGCTTATATGTTATTTATTTAGCAGCCAGTCCCTGAAGCAATCAGGAGTTAAGGGCCTCACTCAGGGACTCAACAGTCACATCACTCTGTCAACCATAGAATTTGAACCAGCAACCTCCTGATCCCAGGCACAGCATCCTAACCAACTGAGCCACATCACTGCCATCACATGTGAGTGAATACTTAATAAATAAAAGGAGAATGCAGTGCAGGGAATAGTGGAGAGATGGGGGAAGTATGCAGTGAATTGTGTGTCTCAGTTCTCTTTACCTTTGAGTTGAAGAAGAAAAGAAGTAACAGAGAAGACTGGCTACCCCCCCAAACCCCCCCCCCCATTATTGCGCTGAGCCCATGTAGTTCAGTG